TGAATATGAGCCAGTATTGTCTGAATAAACCGACACACATTTACACACACACACACACACACACACACACACGCTGTATGAACAATAGAGCCTATCACACGGCAGTGGTCGGGGTATTTAGGTGGATAATAAACCATTATTTGTATTTGCTTGGATTTGTCTCCTGGACAATTGTGGGGAGCAAACAATTGGCTGTTATGTGTCTTTGGTAAACAGTAAACATCTGTTGGGAGTTATGGGCTGGAGAGGAAGAGAGAGAGGGCTGTGTAATTATGTGTCTCTCTATTATAATCATCTTCCACTGTCTCCCTCTCTATCTGTTTTTTTCTGTCTCTGATTCTCTGCTGTACATTTCTCTTTCTCTAATAACTCAGCGTCTTTGTTTCCTGTGGGGGTTTTTTTATTTTCATTTCTTTCCTGTGAGTCTTTGTTGTGTCACAGTGATTGGCGTCTGAGGGGTTTTTAAAGCACAGGTCAAAACAAGGTGACGCAGAGTATCTGCAGCCGACCGGTGCAGAGAGGGAGAGTGGATCATTCGAAGGTGGATGACAGTTTCTCTGCCGCCTTGTTCCTCTTTTGTTTTCTCCCTGTTCACTCATATTTCTGCCTCTGTATCATTATTATGCTTTTTGCTCTCTCTCTCTCTCTCTCTCTCTCTCTCTCTGTCTCTGTCTCTCTCTCTGTCTCTGTCTCTGTCTCTCTCTCTCTCTCTCTCTCACTCACTCAGTCTCTGTCTATACATGAGTTTATTTTTGTCTCTTTCTCTGTAACAAGACGACCTGTTTAAGTGAACCAGTGTTTCCACAACGTTGGCTAAATTAGGAATAACACAACGCTATGACGACCTCCTGCCCATCACACACACACACACACACACACACACACACACACACACACACACACACACACACACACACACACACTTCGGACCAGGTAGCATCACAGAAGTGCCTGAGGTGTTCTGAATGCACTGACCTGTTAACAAACATCCGCAGCTAACAAGGCAGGGACAGGATGTACGCTGTTTGTGTGTGTGTGTGTGTGTGTGTGTGTGTGTGTGTGTGTGTGTGTGTGTGTGTGTGTGTGTGTACTACCTGGTCTACATCTGATGTCTTTTATATATTTACTTACCGTCACATCAGAATGGGGAAGACCCAGTTCAGTTCTGTTTGTTGTGTAACTGTGTGTAATCGTGGCTCCTCCTGTGTCTCTGGTGTCACACACTCATTTTTATAAGTTTATTATAAAACTTGAACTCGTTTGTATTAAAATCTCGTGTCGTGGGATCTGTAATAAATGAGTCATATGACCGTGAACTGTGTCTGTTGTCCAGACCGGTGAATCTAGGCGTCTGGCAGGGGGACAGAAGCCGAGGATGATGATGTGATAATTTTTATTTCCACTGGATTATAAAGAGTTTTACTGATTTGTGATATATTATGAAGCTGTTGTCAAATTTCTACCAGACCTGGCAACAGCGAGCATGCACAACACCAGAGAACAGGAAGTAGCTCACCTAAATGAAAAGAAGCCATCATCAGTGTTATTACTTCCACTTTTCCTGCTTTGACAAAGTCAAATAGTCCTTTGTGTCTTAAAAGCACATTATTCAGATCAGGTGTCAGCGGGATCTTTACTCCTGATCTACTTTCTCTTTCTTAATAAATCCAATATTAAACAAGTAGCTGTTTCAAATGAGCTCAATTCCTCCGACTTTAATAACATGAAGATCTGGGTTAAACTCTTTAAATCAAACCAAAGTTGGATGTAAAATACACAGAGCACTGTGTAAATCCTGTCTCTATAGACTCACATTGACCCGACTGTAGGAGGAAGAAGTAAAACTACCTTTACAACAGGGTGGAAATACTCCTTATTTATTATGCAGGAAAACAGCTGTGAGCAGTGTATTGTTATATTGTTGTTGTATAATGATATAATGTGGAGCTACTTCACATACTGTCGAGTTTAATCCTCAGCGATGCAGAAACCAGTCATAAACTCTGTGTGTAAAATATTAAATAAAGAAGAAAATAAAGTAAAGAGTGAGCAGCTGCCAAATAAACCTGGTGCAATATTCTGAAGAAGTTAAAAGTTGCATAAAATTGAGACGCCAAATGCATGGCTAACCACAGTTACTCTGTTTCTCCTTAGCACCACTGTTGTCATTTCTGTCTCTCTCTTTGTGAGAATACATTCACATTGTGAGTAGCAGAGGAAGGTGCGCCGCTGCGTTTCATCGTGCGGCGTCCGACCCTCGGAGGTCGTCTGACAGGCAGAGCGGAGCTGGAAACGTCTCTGTCGACAGGAGCAGCAGCTGAAACGCTGCCTTGAAGACAGCTGGGTTATTATGCATGATGGCACAGGGTGGCTTCCTCTCCAAACCGCCGGGGGCCGTGCTTTCAGAGTACAGATAGGACATACATATGCACACACACACACACACACACACACACACGGAGGCAGAAATCCTGGCACCTAAGCTGATACTGTACATACAGTGTCTGCGTTGGTGTACAGGCTGACTCACGAATAGAAAACACACCCACACACACACACACACACACACGTATATTCAGGTACAGTAGTGTACACAATGATGTTTTCATACATGAACAGACAACCAAGCACACACACACACACACACACACACACACACACACACACATGTCCAGTTCTAAAATAGATTTCCTCCTCTCTGCCTCTGCTCTTCTTCTCCTCACTGAAACATGTTGTAGAATATGAATATGAATGAAATCCCTCCAGTATGAAGGTTTCCCTCAGCAGACCTCTGCAGCACCAGCTGCACTTTTTTTTTTTTTTTTCCGCAGTCACAGTTTCAATTATCTTTTTTAGAGATTTTATTTAATCACCTTCTACATTTGAGAGAGAATTCAGTATTTAACATTTACAGTGTGTAAAGATAAAGCAGAAGGGCCTAGAGTTTCATTCCAAATAGAGATAACCACCACTGCAAAAAGTGGTGCTCAGTTTTACACTTGAACAGTAAAGGCGGCCACAGAGCTGCACAGGGTGTCGGACGGTCCACACAAGCAACAGTGCTTCACATCTGTTGTGTTGCAACGTTAAAGCTCCTCCAGTGTAAAGGTCTGTGTCCATGTGTAGTGTGATTATAGATCAGGTCTAGCTTCTATATTAATACTGTGAAAGTATCAAAGCCTCAGTCCACAGAGAAATGCACACAGCCTGTATTCAGAAACTGAGCCTTAAAACCAGCCGTCAGGACTTCTGGAACTTTGTGATGTCACAACAAAGCAGTCACCAAGCCCCGCCCACCTGGTGCCACCATCCAAACCTTTGCAGGATTTGGTTTCTCTGAGTGTTTTTACCTGAAATCTGCTATATTTTTATTGGATCGCTCAGAAAACAGTCAGCCAATCAGAAGAGAGGCTCAGAGCCTCCTCTCTTCTGATTGGCTCACCGACCTGTTGTTACTAGAGCTCCAGAGAGAAGCCTGAGAGAGGAGATGTAAAACTACACTTAGATGGTTTTTGGTTCTTAAAACCACAAATATATCTTCTTATGGATCAACACTTTAAACACCAGAGAAGTGTAAAATATGGGATGTTTAAATTCCTTAAAGTAGTTGATGAGTCAAGCTTTTTGAGCTGGTACAGTGTAAAAGTGTAAAATATGGGACGTTTAAAGGGAAAATGAACTTGTCTGAATGTAGGAGCGCTGCCAGTATCTTTGAATCTAATGAGAAACTGAGAGTTGATATATTTAAGAGTGACAAATGTTCAAGGGATCAAAATGTCTGCTCTGCAGTGACCGTTGAGTGCAGAGACCATGGTGCTGATAAAGTGAAGTTATAAACGGTATGTTTGTAGAAAATGTGGCTGCTGAATCTCCTGTGCGACACTGCAGCTAATTGGTACCATACCGAACTACTGACAGCTTTTCCCTCTGCTATTTATAACTCTAATTACCAAGAAATCAAGATAAAAGAAACGTTTCACAGTTTGTTTTGATTAAATTGGGAGGAGAAATATAAGAAGTCATAATACGTTCAGATCGTGTTTCTGTACATCTGCTGAAGAGTGAGCGGTTATAGTTAAAAGAGATCCAGTGATATTAAAGCAAATGAAGCGGCATGTCGAGCATGCTAGCAGCTTCCATTATAACCTTCACAGTGTCTTCCATGAATTATTGAACAGCGCACCTCTGGGACGCAGCACATGTTTGTAGCAGCGCTGCACAGGGCGCTGGGCTTCATACTCACACATGCTTCTGCTTGTTCTGTCTGTGAGTGTTACCGGGCGGGGAGCAGTGGTGTGTGAAGACAGTTTACTGTTACTTTACCGACTTGTTAGCCTCCTTCGCAGAATGACTCTAGGGATGACAAGGTTAGCAGGTCATTCACTCCAGACTGAAATATCTCGACAGGTAGTGGATGGATTGACAGTTTGGATACAAAGAGACTGAATCCTGACTTTTCCATTAGCATCCTATCATGAGGCAAAAAGCCTGTGGTGCCACCAGGTTTGGTTATCCATCCATGTTCTGCCACTTGTGCAGGTTCGTGTTGTGTTATCATCAGGAGAAAGAGCAGAAAGGACGGACTGGTCACTGTGTATAATATACAATGCATGATGGGAAGTGTTTCAGGGTGATTTCACACCTGAACTCGTTCGTTCGTTTTCCGTTTTGTTTGAGCTCGACGGTTCCCGCAACCTTTTTCCTGTGTTTACTTTCCTGCTCCAGACAATCTGACCAATCAGAGGAGTGAACCTTCTCACCTTGTTTGTAATGATGCATTTTGGTTCACTTGAATTTTTCTCCTTGTGAAAACAAACCGAACCTACAAGTTCACAAACTCCCCAACTGAATCGGACCAGAGCAAACGAGCCTCAGACAAACCGTATGTGAGAATATCACGCAGTATAGTACAGTGGTGCCGACAGTCGATCTTCAGAGTTATAGAGAGGAAGGTTTGATCCTGTCTGAACTGGGCTTTTTTTCTGTCTCTGTCTCTCCAGGGAGTTTTTCCAGCCAACTACATACACTTGAAGAAAGCCATCGTCACCAACCGAGGGTGAGTTCACGACCTCCACACTCTGTTCGACAGAACATTCATATCTCCACTATCTTTCTCTTTTTTGTTTTTGTTTTACCCCGTTTCCTTTCATATCCTGTCTTACCTGTATCACACACAGTAATATCACCTGTTTTAAATCAAGATGAAGTGTGTGTGTGTGTTTGTGTGTGTGAAGTTAAATCCACCTTTTAAGACAGAAGACTTGATACTGTATAATATATTTAAGCCGTTAAATGTGAGAGATTTTGGTGAAGAAGTAATTCGACTTTTAAGGAGCTATTTGTAAGTTTTTGCTTTTGCTACATAGCTAACGTTAGCATTAGCGGCTGTTTACTTAGCAGTCTAGAATTATGTACTGAACTATGTGAGTTCAGCATCAAACTTCATTCCTTTACTCACCAACAGCTGTCTGCAGATGTGGAAAACAACGCTCTTGTTTTGCTTCTATTTCTGTCACGTCTTTTTATCTTCTGAAGTTAGCATGCTAACCAGCTAGCCCCCGTCTGGTCGCTCCAGTCAGCCTGTCTAGTCACTTTCCGATACCGAGTCACTGTAGCCTCCAGTCTGCCCTGAAGAAGTCGCTGCTCAGAGGACGGATCATAACGTCTGCCCGTGTAAACACAAGGATGGCTGAAGCTCTTGGCAGGAAGGCAGGACAGTAAACAACTGCTAATGCTAACGTTAGCTATGTAGCAAAAGCAAAACTTTCACCAAATTAAAGATAGGTGAAGCTGCTCAACAGATTCCCCTAAAAGTCTCAAGGTCATGGCTTGTTTCAGCATCACATCATGTCCAAGTTTAATTTTGATGGACGACATGATGTTGAACATGTTACAGGACCAACATCATCATGTCGGTGAGTAACACTGATACAAATGACTAAAGCTAAAGGCAGCCACAGCTAACCGCGCTGATTAAATAAAATAAGTGACTGAGACAAAGCGTCTTCGTCACACAGATATTATTTGACTGCTTGTCCCGATCTCTAAGATAAACATGGCCTCTTCAGCTTGATCCTTTTATCGCTCATTTCCCTCCTTTTTGTTTTTACCTTGAAAGAATTTATCATCATATCAGTTTCACCTCACAGGCCTCAGCAGCCGCCAATCACAACGTGTTCATGGTCATTTTTCTCCCGTCTTTTCTCACCGATGTGAAGCTGTGGAAAACTCCTCAAAGTGCCTGGTGTTGTGAAAGTTGTTTATCAGGATCTTTAAGTCGCTGCAGCGCTGATCTGAACGTCTCTCGTCTGTCTGGGATGACGCCACAGCGCCGAGAGGCTTCTTCTTCGTCTTCTTGCATTTAAAGCCATTTAAGGGGTAATTTTAATGAAATCTCGTTTTGTGTTGAGACTTTTTTTTTTTTTTTGAGACCCATTCTCTCTAAATAAGGTATGAACCTCCTTGTTCCTGATTCCCTTCCAAGTTCGAGAGTACATATTTTAATACATTTGCATAATGATTGGAAAACCTTTTTTCTTTTTTTCCTTAACTTCTGATTAATCAGAGTTACATAGCGTGTCTTGATTTGCGTAAGAGTTTTTTAATTAAAGGCAGAGAGTAAATTAATTGGAATTAGTGAATCTAGTGTTTTAAGTAGACCTCCAGGGCAACGAGCGACAGAGCTCCGAGTGGAGACTCTCAGTGTGTTTTACTGAATCAAGGAGGCTGGTGCATGATGACGAATAACAAGTGGGTCTGGAGTGTGTGTCTGTGTGTGTGTGTGTGTGTGTGTGTGTGTGTGTTTGTGTGGAAACACCTGATTAAAAGGTGATTATTAGATCCACATTAGAGCCGAGACGTCAGCAGGTATTCAGACTGACAACAAGGCTGTGGTGTTTGGTGACTGAGGGCGACCGGTTTGAGTTACACATTAAAGCATTTGAAGGTCACCAGACACTGAAGGTTTCTAATCATCTCAGACAGGAAGATAACTGTTTTCTCGTGTTGTGACAGTCGTGAGGTAGAAATGTGCCGTTCATGTTAGAAAATAATCCACGAGAAATGTTTGTTTCTGTGTAACTTATCGATCAACAGTTTGTGCCTTGAGCTTCATCTCCAGACGACGCTGCGTGTGTTTTATTTCTGGAGCTCTCAGCGTTCGCTCCAACTGACTGATCAGATCACAGAGGGATGGTGGGTCCTTGAGGATCAATACACAGTATACTAATATAATAATAATAATAATAATAATAATAAAAAAGATTTTTACATAGCACTTATCAAAATCAGAGATTACAAAGTGTTTCATTCATTCATTCATTCATTCATTCATTTTCTACCGCTTATCCTCTAGTAGGGTCGCGGGGGGGCTGGAGCCTATCCCAGCATCAGAAAAACAGTTTTCTAAAACGAAAATATTTATTTATGGAAGTAAAACCTCTCTTTCTACTTCCTGTCCTGAAAACATTATCACGTCGACCTACAGCCGCACATCGACGTGCTGCAGCCTCCAGGTTCAACAGCGCGTGGAGTCGCTCTGAAAACTCTGTCAGCTGCTTCTCTGCAGGATGAATCCACTGTAAGAGCTGATATTTACAAACATCACAACAACAACCCCCGCACTTCAGGAACACACCCATAGAGACAAATACACCTCTGCATTCACACTCACAGTGAGACACACACACACACTCACACACACACACTCGGAGAAGAGGATGCAGTTACTGTACAAACACGTGGATGATGGCAGGCATTTTCAAAAACACACAGGTGCAGTAATGAGGAAAGGAAATGAGATTTATGGCCACACTCCAGGTGAACACACCTTTAACAAGTTCACCTGTGACAGCAGAAAATAAAAAGAAATACTTCTACACCCAGTTTACAGAGGAAGGAGAAATGTTCAGAATGTTTAGAATCACCACGTGTGTGTTAACGTGTGTGTAAATGTGTGTGTTTAACACAGTGCAGTGTTGTGACCGTCAGTTCCCATTAGGATCAATGTGGTCAAATGACCACGGCCCCGTGTTTGACCCTCAGGTTAATGTCAGCATATGGAGTTTGATGGTACTCAACTCTGACACCAGAGTCCGAGAGTGTGTGTGTGTGTGTGTGTGTGTGTGTGTGTGTGTGTGTGTGTGTGTGGTTGCGTAACATCTTATCTACAGGCATGTTAGTAGTGTTAGTGTTTAATGTTTATTCCCTCGAATTGTTTCCAACATAAAAGTACAAAACTATTATCAGAAAAATGTAAGAGGCACTTTACTAAATAAATAAGAAATACTTTTTATATATTATGATAGACATCACACGTGGGGGGAAATTCAGAGCGAAGCCCGGAGCAACAGATAACACACGACTTTGTCCCGACATCAGATTCAGTGCCGCCATCACAGCTGCTGTTTGAGTCGTCATGCTGAGACCTTTTAACGAGCCGCAGACTCCGACTGATATTTACATCCTGTTCTGTTTGTGAATCAGTTCGACTCATCCTCTTTAAACAGTGTGCAAATAAAAGATTGATGCCTGAATCAATCTCGTCAGTAGTTTAGGAGATAAAGAAGAATTTATTCCTCACACTGTCCCATCGAACATTCATGGTGTAAAAGCTGAAGACAAACTGCTTCTTAGAGCTGTCTTTAAGATAATTAAATCCATTAGGAGTCTGTATACTGGTACAATAATGGAAAGGGTTGTCTGTAATGTCCACAAAATAGTAAATTAAATCTGGATTTGTAGTGAAACAAAGTTAAAGTAGCCAAGAGACAGAATATTAAACGCCTCTGTAGCCTTTAAATATTTTGTGAGGCACAGACAAAAGGAGAAGTCCCCAGAAATCACTCTTCCGACAGGAAGTGCGTTTAAAAATAAAATACTTGCATAAAGAATAACAGAGGGACATACATGAGAAGAGAGAGAGAGAGAAATATTAGGATGGAGCTAAAGTGGCGCCAGAGAGACGAGACGAGGGCAAGGTGAGTGCAGGTGGAGGATGAAGGGAGAGAAGGAGGAGAAGGACGAGCGCTCGGGAGAGGAGAAGAAGAGGAATGATGGAAATGTGCCAGAGCGAGAGAAGAAAAAACTTGGAGGAACGATTCAAGGCAGGGAAGCAGAACGAGGGAGGGGGAAAAAAAGGAGGGAGAGATTAGATTGAGTGAAAAATAGAAGAGAAGAGAAGAGGAGGAGAAGCGTCTGAGATACAAGTGTAACTAATGTGGGTGAAATCACCAGGCGGCCGCCAGCTACAGCTCAGCTGGGAGATCAGCTAATCTAGCACACAGGCTTTTATTAATTAATCAGTTATGAGACAGAAAGAGAGAGAGAGAGAGAGAGAGAGAGAGTCAGGGTGGGAAGAGAAGAACGACAGCATGGGAGGAGAGGGAGGATAAAGAAGTGTGTGTGAGACAGAGTCGCTCTAATATTCATGACTCCGGGGCTGAGACAGTGACTCAGCTTTCAGTTTTTAGTGAACATCCCCGCGATGGTCAAAATTATGTGCAAAGAAGGTAGAAAACAACGGAGCGAGGTGAACTGAGGCTCCGCCCCCTCAGCTGCTGCAGGAGGTCACTCAGGTTGGAAACGTCAGGGAGTCTTGTCACGTCAGTTATTTTTTTACAGGTGAACATTATATCACCTGAGACCAGTTTCCCATCCACATGAATTCAGAAATATAGTATGAGAATTTACTCTGTTAAAAGTAAAAGTACTGCAATTAAATTCCGTACTTGTACTTGTACTTTGTAAAGTAAAGTTGCTCTTTAAGCCCAAAAGAAGTGACTTTACCGACATCACAACGATTGAAGTGGCATTTTCCAAACCAGCTGCTTCTAATAGTGTTTTCACACTAACATCAGCAGGTCTCAGCAGGTGTTTTTAAACCTGCTAACAAAAGGACACACAGAACCGCAGGGACCGATGTCATAACATGTAGTTACATACACACACACACACACACACACACACACTGATACAGGGGAGAAACGGCGAGCTGAAGCCGCTGTGCAGACGGGTAAAACAGACCCGTCGTGGTGCTCCTGTCGGTGTCGGAGCTTCTGTGTGAGACGCTCCGATCGGTTGTTGTGTGTTTTTAAATGTTTTGGTTCTGTGTGTTCCTACAGGCCGCATGAGACTGTGGTGCCTCTCGAGGACCCCATCGTCACCGAGGTGACATCGACGCTGCAGGAATGGGCCTTACTGTGGAAGCAGCTCTACGTGGTAAGAACTCAGAATATTATACTTTGAAGTGTCACTGCAGATTTTTTATTTTTTATTGTTCACTTTGGTTCGTCGTGCACAAAGGCAAAGCCGCCAGACGCCTGCAGCTGTGTCGTGTCCTGCTGTAGTCTCGGAAAGTTTGGAAACAAAAACCAGAAGTTTTTTGTCTCAGTTGAAGACTTGAACCTGTGCTCCTTTTACCTGTGGTGTGCCTCAGGGGTCAACCCCTGGACCCATCTTATTTTCATTATATTCATTATTTTCATTACATATTCTCCCCTCAGGGCAGTTCATCCGACAACTCTCAAATTTAACCACCAGTGTCTGCTCGAGGTTAGCAGCTGGATGTCTCCAAATTTTCTTCAGTTAAATCGAAGTAAAACTGAAGTTCTTATTTTCAGTCCAGTCATTCTCAGCTTCTTATTGTTGCACTTCCTGATTTCAGCTTTCCATTGGTTCTTGCAGGTGTCGTTTCTCCTTTAATGTTTGACTCAGTTCACATTGATGAGATCCTCAGCAGCAGGTTGCTGCGTCTTAAAGATGTTCACTTATGTTTGCGGGGACGACAGCTGCGACGCTCTCACACACCCGCAGCTCATGTGCCAAGATTCAGACGCAGAGACGGTTGTAGTGAAACATTTTGCAGTAACAGACAAAAACACTGATTCCTTTAACTTCCAGTTTCTCCTCAGATATGTGAAGTATCTCACATTAGCTTGAGGCGTGCGTTTCAGATGTTCATGCTGATATCCGCTGTGTTACCTCTGTGCTCTCTCGTTTGGAAATTTGAGACTATTGACCAGTCAACTGGGGACAAAAAGGTGTGTGTGTGTGTGTGTGTGTGTGTGTGTGTGTGTGTGTGTGTGTGTATGTGTGTGTGTGTGTGTGTCACAGACAGGGTGGTTGAAGATGTACCTCAGGATGTTGGGAGGATTGAGTCTGTCGTCAGTAAAAAAAAAAAAGAGAAAGATGAGGAAGTTTAGTTTCCTTTAAGACCATTGGTTTGGATTTATTTACATTTACAATATTTGATTAAAGACTCTGACATTTTAAGTTTTATTTGCCAGACGAGGTGCCATGTCCTTGTTATACACTTATATTTTGCTTTTCTAAACTGGTAGTAATAAACACTCACTAACGATGAACTAACAACGAAAGGTCTTTTTTATTTTTCTATAAACACACATTACTGCGCCGCTCTGTGTCCTGCAGCGTGTTGGATGCTGTTTTCAGTTCAGATGATATTTATTGACTTTGGAGCTTGAGCTGAAAATGTTACAGCAATAACAAACATTATATGAACAAGATCTTTATAGCTCACAGTCACATTGTTCGTCTGTGGAGGTTGACACTGTTATTCTCTCCCGCCTGTTTCTCTCATAGACTTTCATCATTCTCCGCACCTCCTCTGTCCATCCATCACCTCTTATCTTCCTTTAATGACGTCTGTCTGCTCACCGTCTCTGTCACAGTATATGTTTTATTAGTTTTCCTTCTGTATGTGAATGTATAGTGGGACGGGGATTCTGTGATTTAAACCTTGTTGAAATCTAAATCCGTCACTATCCTTCGTCTACTGTCTCTGCTCCGACGGTTATTTTCATCACTCATCTTCCTCATGTCCTGCCAGCGCTGTCACTCTGTGCCTTTATTCAGAGTTAACAGACTTTTGTCTTTGCTCCCTGCCAGAGTTGAATAGATGAAAGACAAAACTGTCTTTGTCAGGTTCTGCATGACAGATTTTCCATTTCCCTCCTGACAGACGTCCCATTAGTGACTCAGTTTTGTCGCTGAAAAAGCAAATGTCCTCGTGAAGCTGCTGTAAATCCAGCGACAAGAAACGCTCGTGCTTTGTGTGCGCAGATGAAAAGATAGATAGATAGATAGATAGATAGATAGATAGATAGATAGATAGATAGATAGATAGATAGATAGATAGATAGATAGATAGATAGATAGATAGATAGAGGGGTGGATGGTAAAGAATGATAAAGTCCATCTATAGTGTGTGCATGGTGCAGTGACACATGGATGAGCCCTGGAGAACAAACTCACGTTGACATGTTGAATTCTCTCTAATGGATGTTCGGCAGCACCAAAGCCTGGAGAGGTGACAAATGCAGCGGAGCAGAAAAGGCCGAGTGACACCCACACTCACTCTCTCTCTCTCTAACACACACACACACACACACACACACACACACAGATGCACGCGAACATGTGCGATACATGTGTGTCCTCTGCCGTGGTGATGCAGGCTGTCAATGAGGAGACGTCTCTGACTCTGTGTCCTTTTGTGATGAACACACTCAACCTCTCTCTCTCTCTCTCTCTCTCTCTCTCTCTCTCTCTCTCTCTCTCTCTCTCTCTCTCTCTCTCTCTCTCTCCAGTGTATTGTGTGTATGCTCTTTGCAGACTGCCTCAGGAAATTTACACTTTGCTGGATGTGAGAGCGATCAGATTAGCCTACTCAAACTCCGCATGAGTGTATGCATCTCTGTCAGAAGAGGACATCGCCACCTACTGAATGCCGATTATTATCAGGGGCGGCGCTCCCGACCAGTCCTGCCCCGCGCACGACGATATTAACTGCCCAATGAACGTACGTGACCTGCGTGACACACGCGAGCGCTCTGATACACTGACGACGTGCTGCAGAACTAACAGAACTCTGGCCACGGCAAACGCATATCTGCCTCCATCAAGGCTAGGACACGTGTCTCCCCTATGTCGGCTCAGACTCTATACTCGATGGATCTCGTTTCGCCAGCAACGTCGAACGCGCCAGCTGATACACCTGCCCCCAAAGTGACCTCTACATGAGTCGGTTGACCCGTCCTTGCCATCCACTATCTATATCATTCAACACGTGAGGCAGTGGTTAGCAGTACTCTTGATCCGACTTATCCCGGCAACGCATGCACTGCCCGCCAACCTACTACTTGCACATGACGCGCGTGCTACCTGACCACGACCGGTTTGTGCACTATGCCTCAAAGTGGATCGCGGTCAACGAGACAGGGGCCGCCGGCGAAACCCTAATCTCGCTAGAGACCGCACGCACCCGGACTATGATTCCATGGTACTGTCACGCCGTGCGAGCTACCAATCGGACACGACGACGTCTATGGCGAATCATGCAGTGTACGAGAGCAACCCAAAGATAGTGTCTATAGAGTCTAAGATATAGAATAAAGAAAAGAATATGAGACAGGAAGACGTGTTGGTGAAGTGAATGAATGAAAAATTGACCATGAGAGGGCAGTGGTGAGGGAGAGGGAGTAAATATATAAGAGGGAAGAAGAGAGAACTGACAGAGGAGCAGCAGAGAGACAGAAACACTGAGGGCAGAAATAATTAAACCCTTTTATGCAGAGATCCTGTCGTTAAGACGAACCCTCGTTATGACGCCTTTATTTGTTTACGCTGAACCGAACACAGTCAGAGGCGTCACACACACATCACTGTGGCAGCGGTGAAGTTATTTAGTTTTTCTTTTAGGTTTTTAATTGTTCTTTATATTTATATTTAGGAAAATCTTATTAAAACAAACATTTGGAATAAAAAAAAAAAATGTTTTCGTTGTTTGGTGTCGTCGTCGGACTCTAGAATCAGATCTGATCTACAGACTGAAATTATAGCCAAAGACAAAGAAAAGTACCTAAACTGTCGGACTATCTACTGTCTTGATCCGCACAGAGAACAACCAGCAACTGAGAATAGTTTAAGACTAAATAATTGGTCGGATCTTTGAGGCCGGTGGAAGTTCAATCATTCAGTTATATCTTATCCAATCATGAACACTCCGTCCATCACTCGACATATTAGACATATCTCAACATATTAGCATGCTAACAAGCTAAACTAAGAGGGTGAACATGGTAAACATTACACCTGCTCATCAGCACATTAGTATTGTCATGATTTGATGTTAGCATGCCGCTGTTAGCATTTAGTCAAAGCACCAGTGTAGCCTGACAGAGCCGTTAGCATGGCTGAAGCTCTGACACAGCACTCTGTAGTGTAACAGTTGTGTAATGTGTTTTATTTCATTCTGAGTCGTTTACACCGTCGACCTCCTGTGACAATCCTCTGCTCTACTGTGATGGTATGATGAGGAAAAGAGAGGCAGATAAAGGACGAGTGACACAGAGAAAACCTGAATAAGAAAAAGACAAAAGCTGAGTTTGCAAGAATAAAATCAGGGAAATGGAGAAAGTTATTACACGAGGCTCCTCTACGTCTCTGCCGCTCTGTCCTCATCATGATTATTAGTCCTTCTATTGTTTTCTCCTTCTTTCTCTCTCTATCTCTCTCGCTCCGGTTTTCCCTCTCTCTCAGCCCATCTTTTCGTTTTCTGCTTCTGCCTCTTCGTTCCTTTGTTTTTCTCATTCTCTAATCCCCCCCCCCCCCCCTCGTTGTCTCTTACATGCTGATGTCAAAGTAGATAATATTGTGTGTGTGTGTGTGTGTGTTTGTGTGTGTGTGTGTGTGTGTGTGTGTGTACGCATGGAGGGGGGATAAAAGTGTGAAGAGGAAGGGAGGAGGAGGAGAGGGAGCGGTGACAACCAAACAATGATGGAGGGATGTGAAGACAGGGATAAACACAGAGGGAGACATTTCTTCGCTGTGAAATGTGCAGACAAGTGTGTGTGTGTGTGTGTGTGTGTGTGTGTGTGTGTGTGTGTGTGTGTGAAGCCGAGACGAGAGAAAGTAGAAACAGAGGGAGGGGTGACAGGACAGATATGCAGCAGGCGGGGAATTCGTCCTCATCCAGCTCCTTCAGTTTTACGATGCAGTGACATTTTCTGCAGCTGTGGAGGAGAAATGAGAAAACACACACACACACACACACACACACACACACACACACACACACACACACACACACACAGAGTTCAGAGCTGAAACTCACAGTGTGTTTTCATGAACTTTCAACCTCTTACACTTTATTATAATCCAGTCAAACAAGTCTCAGAAAATGGTGGTAAAAGCTCACG